CTCCACTTTGGCCTGCTCATTATATAAATCCGGAAGAAGCTGTTAACGTCAGTTTGCTTCAGATTCATTCTTTAATTACAAGTGAAAGTCCTTTCTCTTTCTCAAGACTCTCACTACTAACTGGGACCTCTCAACTTATTGATAGTGAATTTAAGAAGGCTAAAAAGTCTATTTGGTAATTAGTTACTATATTGAAAGAGAAGTCTTGAAGAAAAAGGACTGGGAATCAGGATACATCTTTTTTTTTTATTCCTCTTCTGTGACAAGCACTGGTGATTTCCTTTGGGCAAATCACCCAAACTTGTCAAGATTGTTCATGAACCTGGGCAGCCAAAGACTTAAGAGAGGTAGCAGTCTTTAGCACCTCTGAAAAACAGGATAAAATGAGAACTGTATCTTGTTTACTCTCTTTCCCTCCTTTGATAACCAAAGTGCCTCTCCCATTTATTGTGCCTGCTTACAAATTCTGAGAAAAATATTGCATCTCTTCACTGAGTTTGAATTATTCATTTTGGCAGATATGTATTTGAGGATTTGTGATCCTCTAAGCCTTGTTTTTTTCACTGAAGACCAACAGAAATTCAGCTTTTTCATACACTGTTACACACAGGAGAGTGTTTTCCTAGAAAATGCAGACAGAAATGGAATTAGATGGCGTGTGGGGCAGGGAAGGGAAGGGGAGAAAAACTTTCACACACAAAATGTTTTTCTTTTCAGTCTCAACTGCTCCAGTAGATTAGTGAGTCACTAAGTGCAGAAAGAATGATGATAAGGAAATAGTCTAATTAATTTCTTTGTAAAAAAAAATACATCTGCCGAGTTCTCATTCAGGAATCTTTCACTCCCATTACATAAGAGCTATGCTGTTATTCTACTGCCTAATCAGGTTAACCTAATATAATTTTTACAAAGTGATCTTCATGGCTGTGCAGCACAGCCTCCCTCCTCTCTTTCATCACAATATTAAATAGTCCTTCATCTCCTCTTTTTTCCTGTATGAAATTAGATAATTTCCCCCCTCCAAGCAAGTATCTTGGACTATTTGAAATACCTATGCCGTGTTTCCACTGAGTATTCTTTCAGTGTTTGGAAAGTGGGCTACAAACATATTTTCAAATAGTGCCATCCTAACTGATCCTTAAACAAAACGCAAGTCGTGAGCTTATAAATCCATGAGCAAAGAAAGACCCAACTGGCATAAAATCAAATAAATAGAAATATTGATCGACATTCCCATTCTATCGTGATCGTGCTAAACTCATGAAGGAAAAAGCTTCTACTTGATATACTGACATCCCCAGGAATTTCTTCCAACAAAAGCCAAAATATGTGGCAAAATGTAGAAATTCCATCTATAGGAACATTTTTTTTAAAAAAACATACAGCTTCAGTTAGAGAGCTAACCTTTACTGGAATTTACTGGCTTTTGCTGGCTTGCATCAACACTAGCACATAGAAAATGAAATGTAACAGATTCAAGAAAATGCAAACATTTTGGCCTGTTGCCAGAACATTTCTGCATTTATTTCAACAAGGTAAAAAAAAAAACCCGTTTTCTTTGAGAAAATCTCCTGTCCTATGAAACCCATGTGGTTTGCTACGTTTTTTTTTTAGTTTTATAGCAGCCTCGTGAAATAGATGATATTTTCCCAGATAGATAGATACAAGAATTACGGACATTGGAAATCAAAAGCTCCTCATATTAAATGATCAAGTTTTCAAAAGCACACAGCCACCATTAGAGCTCTTACAATGGTCAGTATGAATTTCAAAAGTGTTCAGTAACTGGGAGGAACTTTTAAACCTCTCTGGGCAATTTAGAAGCATTAGTCTCATTGAAAATTAATGAGCCATGTGCTGCTCAGGCTTTTTGGTGCTCTACAAAAAACTCTCATATTATACCTGGTATCCACAGCGAGGTCTTGGGCATTTTCAAAATTTGATCTCAGGCTGCTTAGGCCAAATTCTGCTCTCAGCTACAGATGTATAACTTCTCCTTATGGTATATTTATCTGTCCAATGAAGCAATAGCTCCCCTTGCTCTGCTCTTTTTGAAAGTCTGTCAACACAGAGCATCTGAATGCAGCTGTGCAAAGAGCTGCATATCCTGGCCTCTAGCCCCTAGGACAGTCCCAATCCTCCATGCAGCAAAGCTGTGTGAAGCCTACTGCTGACAAGTTCTGCTGCGTCTTGTAAGGAAAGCAATAATCCACATGGCTAAGGGAGGTGTGCCTTAACCATCGTCACTGCATTAATATGCTAACTCTGGTGCCTAACTGTAAGCACACCAACACCAAGACACTAAGCGTTTCCCCAGTAGCTGTGCATCCCATTACTCTAGATGCTAGAAGCATAACAGTAAAAGTCGCATGGAATATTTTTTCTTTACTATGGTCTATCTGAATTCATTTAAAAAAGATTAATAAGGAGATGCCACTTTAGGACTAATTAAGTAAAGGTTAAGTAGATTACTGAAAAAGAAAGTAAGTAAGACTCTTGATTTACAATTCCTATGTGACACTTAGCATTCCCCTAGTACTGAATAACACATTAGGATGTCAGAAGTAAATCGTTCAGCTTTGCTTCCTGCTAAATCTGATCTTAACGTAACTGAGTCAGTCAGAATTATCTTCCAAGGGCATCACGTTAAATCTGGAAAGAGTATTCCTATGTTTTATATTATGAACATGGAAAACAAAATTAAGAACCAAACAAAAATTGTGATTAAAATCTACAGTAGGTATTCCTTTCTTAAGGCTAAAAAGAATGTAAGGTTCACTTTCTTCTGAACTGCTGACTTCACACAGGTTCAGCATCACAGAGGGTTTACCAGGAGCCAGTGGCAATAAGCATTCATTGCCCAAAGCAAAGGAAAAGAGGTTCACCCTTGTGGCAAAGGTCAGATTTCTGCAGGCTTATAGCCTGTCCGTGTATATGAGTGTTCGTGGGACATCTTTGTCTAGTAAGGTCCCATGAGGATGACACAGGCTCCACAATGTCCCCTCTGCCTGGAGGATGGCCCTATAACCACCCAGATCAGATTAGGGTCATTTGACTTGTGTCGATCTGGTTCCTGTTGATTATTCACCAGGTTGCGAGTAAAAGCATTGGACCCTTTGTGGGGATGTCGCTGAAGGCTGGAATTACAACTCTACCATGAGAGACTGAACGTGTAAACAGGATATTTAACAGGGTTGCTATTTTCGCTGATGCAGAGAGCTATCAAGTACATTCCCTTGCTAACTTACAACATGCTGTACACTTCATTTCTATTTGCTTATTAGAATCACTATATAAAAACATTAATTAATGCTCATGTCATAAAAACAGTTATGCTGATGACTATGTTACTATTTGTCTATTTATTCTGCAGATATCTTTTCAGAGAGTCATCATGTCCTTTGTTCAGTTTTGTAACTGATGCATTGCATGCCCAAATATTTGGAATAACATATAGAAAACATCTGGATTTAATTATATTATAGTCCTCTTATGCAGACAATGGGAATTGAATTAAGGAATATTTTGAAACCCCCACAGAGATATAAAAGTATTAGCAGCTGCACGAGAACTTTACTGTTACAATGTTTGAAAATGTTTTGTTTTACAGATCAACAGTCTGACACATCATAAATATCAATCATAATATTTAAGATATGTAAACATGGGAGAAAAATTAAAACTTGCATTTCAGAAAACTGTAGATGAACTCATAGCATTTAAGAGACAAAGAGTGCATCCTTTTGTTTAAAAAAATCAAAACATATAGCCTACTGGCACAGAAAATATATCTTGCGCCACAGTATTAAGCAGAAAAACGCAGAAAGGCTTATTGCGACAGAATAGCCTGAACAGTACTTTATAGAATCTTGCTATAATACCACCATATTGTACAGAAATCACATGGAATAATTCAGAAAGAATAAATTAGTAATTTGCTTTTCATTTTTTCATTCTTTTGGAAATATTTGGGGATATAATATGAGCTTAGAGAGTCTATCCTGAAGTATTAGATGCATTCTTATATTAGACTGGATTCTCTTTCTGAATGTATACTGATTCCAAATGCCACTTCTTCTCAAGTCAGCACCAGTTTTGCTGTTAGTTTTCAGTCTCCCAGTGGCTGAATCACATTCAAAGGCAGTTAGCACAGTAGGGGGCCAGCCCCTCTCTCTGAGTGTAACTGTATCACTCAACAGCAGGCTCATGCAATAAGGCATCTAATGTTTTCTTTTCTTTTTCTTTTTCCTCTCTTAGCATCTCCCTGCATTCTCGGATACCGGTCACTGCAACAAGGGCCCGAGGCAACAGCCACATGGACTCCACCACCATCCTTCTAGCGTTCTTTATGGTGCAGAGAAAGTCAAGTCTACAGTTCACCTGCTGTCAAGATATAAGGCTCACTAGCTAAATCCTTTAAAACATTCTGAAAAGTTCAAATGAGTTTTTCCTTTTAAAATATTAAACATTCCTATGTGAAGAATTTAAAAAGCACATACAAATGTGGGCATGTTTGCGCACATGCACACACAAACTTTGGCAACAGACATCACAAAATATAATATTAATCCAATTCCTCCTCTTTCCATGAATTCTCCTCAAAACATCCTCAAAAACTTTGTCTACAGGCAGCATACAGTCTGCAGATAGATACTGTATCTACCATGGAAAAGAAAGAGAGCTATTAAACCCAGAAGTAATAAAGTAATATTCAGAAAAAGAAAATAATATCATAAAAACTCCCTGAAATGATGGTCTATTTAGAAACAAAATTTATCAGAATTGAAGCTTCACTTGCTGTTAGCATTGGGAAATACTGGCTTTTCACATCATATGGACAATCTAACCTGGAAATGATACAAGCAGGATCTTTGAACTTTCCCCATGAATCATCCTGAATGGGCTTGGTGGAATATGAAATATGCCTTACTGACGGACTGCCTGGTTAAAAGGTGGGAGAATGGCTAGGTAAGGAGTTTGAATAAACTACTTTAACTCACCCGTTTTACGAAGTGGAAAATCATCCTTGGCATCCTGTGCTCCTGGTAAAGTGTATTTGTATGGTGGCGAGGCCCCACTCAGGGGTGGAGAGCTTTGATCCAGTGAGGTATGGTGGGCAGCCCTGCAGCAGACACAGAGAGGTCACAAATTAGCAGTCACTGAGGTGACCAGCAGTAACCATCTACACATGTTGTACACATGTCTCAGCTGTGTTTACGTTCCTGTTTCTCTAAGTGTGCACAAACCACAGGCTCATGTAACCAATTTCAGTTTTACAGTAAGTTATGGAACTCCTCGGGATTCCCAAGAATGTACTTTTTGCACTCATTATAAAAGTCACATAGGATAAGAGTCATGTCGACCTACAGACAGGATCTGTCACCAGATTGGGGAATTGACCATTTTAGATGGTTGCATTTTAATGTGAACCAGCTGAAGCACAGCAAAAGCTATTTCATTCCTGTTTATTATGTACAAATAGAGGTACATTGATACAGTCTTTTCTGTAAGAAGATGGGGGGATTTTCAGTGAGGGAGTGCTTGTAAAAACTAATCCAAAATATTGAGTTATTATTATCTCTTGAAAAAAATACAGACTATTTAGTCAGGAGTGGACAAGAAAGCTAAGACCTTGCCCTTAGGTTCTGTGGCTGTACCACTCTACAGCACATAACATTTATGTCAGCAGAGAAGTTCCAAATTGAAAAGTTCTTTCTGACAACTGTTAAATGAACGAAATAATGCGGGCAGACCTTTCTGTAAATTGCAAAAAAATTGCATCATTTGGCCCAGATACAGTTTTTTTGGTTTAGCTGATTTTTCATTTGGAGGGGGAGAGAGGAGAAAGGAGGGAAACTTTCAAACTTTGCATTTATTTAAACATCATTTTATTTGGCCTCTTGCGGAGTCTCTCTCTGTCTCTTTCCAATGTAGTGCGGTTAAGCAAATAATAATATGCCTCTGTCAAAGAGAGGCACTAATAGAGATGAAGTACTACTTTCCCTTGTGCAGTAGAAGACATCCCCCCACAGAGCTCCTAGTTCTTACTCATCTGAAGAATCAGAGCTAACCTCAGAGTATTAGGCCAAAAATCTCACATGCCCCAGAGAATCTTGCACACTGTTTCGAAGAAATTATTAAGTAATATACCTCTACCAGAAACAATGTAAGCATATATTAAATCATGTTACCACAATGCTCTGATTAGCTTAGACTGAAAAATCCAAGGGCAGGCCTTCAATAATTTTTTTTCAAGAATTAAGAGCAAAAACTAGATCAAAATCTACTTGTATTTTTGTTTGTCCTATTACGGGTCAATTTGGGGGTCACATTGAAATCTTTCAGAAATGCAGCCAGAGCTCATTTTGTACGATCGCCTTATAAAAATGTGTCTGTTACAATATGGAAGTCAAAAAGGAATTAATTAATGGCTGTAAACTCTTAGAACATTAATATAGCCATTACAGGACTCAATAAAATAATTTGTTTCAGTGTTTTAAGTAGATTCTTATCAAGGCCAAGGCATTATCAGAATACAGCCTTGAATACTGAAATCCATTAGAGTAAGAAAAGGTAAATGACCTATTAGCCTTCTGAGAATCCTTGCAAGTTACTTATACCACACAAATAATTGCATTAGAAAGCAGAATATCTTCAAGAAGAAATCAGTTTTCCAATTGACTCAAAATCAAAATGAATCAACCACAAAGTCAAGCTAAGTACAGAAATTGAACAGACCTGGCAAAATGACAAGTGTACTTGGAAATCTTGTGATGGCAAAATCATTAGATGAAGCACCTAAAATGAAAAATTTATACAAATTCCTGACACCACCTTGTTCTGTATAGCTTTCAGCTCATCACCTGCCACTGAGTACTCTTCAGTTCAATCAGAAGTACTGCACTTCTGGCTTTTTTCTAACTTTTGGTTGAACTTCTACCTTGCTCTGGAAACAGGCTCCCAATAACCCTGCTGGAGAAGCATTCTGATGCGTAGTTTTAGCAGATACCTCAATAAGGCAAGGAAACAGCTTAACACTGAACATACGTGTACCAGAGCTTGGGGTGGCGGCTCATGGAATGATTCTTTCCATTTGCTGGAGAGTCTTTTGTTGCTGACTTACTCAACAGGAACTCTTGAAGTTTCTGCTTCACTTCTGTACTGGCCACTGCCCCTAAGACACAGAGAATTCAACATTTCTTATCTGCACTGAAAAAAATATTTAAAAAAAAAACAAAAAAAAACACACAAAAAAGTCCATGTCTTGCTGCTGAAAGTGTTGCAAACTATAAAAACCGTTGGTAGAAATCAGTCAAAATTAGATAATATCTGAATTAAACATCTTTCTGTAATAGAATTAAGTTGGCTATAACCCAGCAATACAGTGAAATCACAAGGAATATTTCATCAGTAGATGAGGCCATTCATCCAGGGCCAGATGTAGCTAAAGAATTTAAATTATTTCCTAATAATTCCCACATACCAAAACAATGATAGAACTAAAAAGATAGTGACAAAAGGTCACTTTGAGTTAGCAGCAAAGAATGTTTTTCTTTTATTAAAGTAATGGCAATAGCACAGCATATCTGTCCTCAGAACATTGTCTTGATTACAGGTAGAATGTGGCAGAAAGACTCAGCGGTGAGCCTTTTCATTCAAGTCACTTAACAGCCTGTACCTGCAATGTCTGGAAGATAAAAAACAGTCTGAAACATGAGCTGTAGTTGATAACTCCACTCTTAAGACACTGGAACATAACTACAGGAGGACACAGCACATTTTGACCTCTCCTGAGGGCTAGCTCAGCAAAGTGGGATGAGCAGAGCATGCCAATGTTAGGTTAAAGTACTGATCCCTGCTTCTAGAACTAGGCATGCTTCTTTACTGATAATATTTTATGTAAAAAAAAGTATAAAAAAGAAAAACGTCTTCATTCAGTTTTCCTCATATAGTTATGAAGAAGAGAAGAAAAAAACTTTACTTTGGACCTAAGCATGACGGATACTGTAAGTATGGGGTGTTACAAACTTACCCCACCCTGATGCAGCAAGGCTAGCTGGCCAGCGCGTCTCCTATGACCTGGCTCCCATAAAAACCTCTCCTCCCCCCAGCTTCAAACCCTAACTCCCCTCCCAGAATCAACCTTCCCTCCCCTACTCCTTATCAGCAAATCATCATCAGCACATGCTGGGGCTGCACCTGGAGTTCATCGGTGCTGCTTGGACGGCTGGTACACACCGAACGGCCACCCGGCAAGAAGGGAACCCCTGAGTTCACACTGCTGCTTTTCCTTCGGTGGGAGAACTCATAAAACCCAACTGCTTATTCAGAGGCAGATTTTCACAGCACTTTTAGGTTCGTTTTGTTTTTGGAGCTTCTTCTACCCTCCCACTTCTGGGTCAATAGGCTGGTGGTTCAAAAAGTTATTAAGGTGGCAGAGAGTAAGGAACCCGGCTAGGCCAGGCTGAAAAGGACAAAGAACAAAACCTCATATTGCAAATGCTGTTCTGGAAAGCATTCTTCAGACAGAGGAATATATGAACCCTCATCTACCTTCCCCCCAAACAAACAACCCCCTCCTCCCCACCCCCAAAACCTAGACAGTCGAAGTTCTTTGAAATCTCTCTTTGAAAGTCATATGTTGCCTTCATGGATTCATTATTCACCAAAGTAATGGAAGCCCCATGGACTCCTTAATTTCTAGAGCCTACAACCTATAGTATACCTACAACTCTCCAGCTGATACATTTTTCCTCTCAAGAAGAATAGGCATACGTATATGACCCCTATGAGCATAACATACAGCTCTTTTCTGGTTTGGTCTTTGTTAGTTAATACTTTGTGCTCACTTATCAAGGCAAGTAACAATATCTGCTTGTGGCAGCTTCATTTTGAATACCCTCACAATGTATTTCTACAACCTGATTTTTAAACTGACCTCTCCAAAGGGAATTATTTGTATCTGTCTCCCTCTAGTGAGCATCACATTCCAACAACATCCTTTATTGCCGTCATTTGCCTTAGAGCTATGTAAGAGCTAGAAATAACTATTGGTCAGGTGTCACGAAATGGTATCAGGAACAAACATAAGGCAGTCTGAAAAATTGCTGTTTTTGTAACTAACACAAAAACAACCAGATGTCTCAGTTAAAGACATTCTTAAATATTTTACTATATTTTCATTCTTGAAACAACATGCAATTTACTTCATCAGTAATATAGATTGCTGTTTTGTAGGGCCTTCTATATTGGGAAGTAAATTCCTCAGAGAGAAGAAGATTTCAAGTGAAACCTTAGGCTTTCAAATTCCCTACCTTTCTATAAAAAGAGCTACAGGTCTGCCAAAATGTGCTTTCCTACAGTTCTCCAAGTCTGTACACAAAATAATAACACGTATTTGTGAGTGCAACAGGTGGCTCTGCCTTTCGGCAAGCACAGCTTTGACTTCTCTAGCTGCATATTTCACTCAGTTAATAGACTTGCTTCAGACTCCAGTTCTTTGTCCATTTCAGCTGGGAGAAGGTAGAGGGGAATATATTATCTTTCTTAGTAGGATTCATGGTGCAGCGGCTCTTACTTTCTCGGCCTCTTTCTTTGCCTCTGAGGGGCGGAAGCTGTTCCCTGCGATGCCTCTCCAGTTCCTGCTCCTGCCTCTGCTGCTCCAGTTTCTGCTCTTTTTCGAGGAGTTCTTGCTGTTGTTTAATGGCTAGGAGTTCCTGTTGTAACTTGCACAGAACAAAAAGACATGAGAAAGTGCAGCTTGCACTGTTTTCTTGGTCAGTGCTGGCCAAAATAAACCACTTCAGTAACTGAATATCAGCACTTTTATTTGGGCTTACACTTCTTTTTACCTCTTAACCCACTTTCCCACTCTTCCAAGTGGGATAGTGCATTATCACTTCTCACTAAAGTCAGCTCTAACATCAGATAGCAGCTTGCTGCTGTGGTTTCACTTCTTTCTCTTTTGGCAAAATGCATTGAAACTGCACAACATTCTCAGTTTTTGCCAGTATCACCAAATTCTGGCTGCTGCGCTCAACTGCATTTGTCAGCTTCATTGAGCGGGAAGCTTAACACAGTAACATAACAGCAAGTAGACCTTTCAGAGGGGAAAAATAGAAAGAGAGCCAAGATCATAAATTCCCAGTCAAAATCCATTACAGCAATCCTATCATTGTGCATGTAATCCCATAAAACATTTTCTTTGTACATTATGGGAGACAGTTCAGGGAAGAGTGAAAACACATTGTTTTCAGGGCCTACCTTCACTTTACAGATATAAATATTATGCACTTGTTTATTGATTTGATTTTGGGGCACAAACTCAAACAGCAGCCAAAAAAGTAGTCTTTCTATATACTCAAAATTGCACATACAGAAAAAAAAAAGCCACACTGAAGGCTGACTCAAAATTTGGCTAAAAAATAGGTAGTTTGATCTTCTGTAGCTATATTGGCTTCATGGCACTGAGGACTCTAATACTACTACCTTGGTTTGCTGCAAGTAACTTGCAGGTAGGTGCTACTAATTTTACTTGAAAAGACTCCTATCACCCAAATACAGAATAGTAATCATTCAAACTCCACCTCTCAGTCACAACAAATCTTTCATAAACACTCCCTTTTCATGTCCATCTATAAGCATATTCAATTTACAGAAAAGCTGAAGGATAAATGAAAAATGTTGCTACCTTTATGTGCTCCTGGAGCTGGGCTTGGTGCTGGCGGGTCAGGTTTTCATGCTGTTTCTGAAACTCTGCAATCAGCAGTTGTTTCTGAATTTGCTGCTGCTGCTGGATCAGGAGTAGTTCCTGCTGTAGCTGCTTTTCACGCATAATTGGGTCCACCATGGGAACCATCATCCTGAGATCAGTTCGCAAGTCTAACGGTGAGATAGGCTCTAATGCCACGGGAACCTCCGACTTTACATCCACTGTATGAGAAAAACAGCAAAATACATACATATATATGTGTATATACATGTGTATACACACACACACACACACACATATATATATGTATATATAAAAATCTATAACAGGAGAAGCAGAACCAAGATAACTCCAACTGAGGAAGAACATATTTTCATTTAAAAGTTCCTTCAATATACAGAGCTAACAAAACACTAATGCAATCTATACTATATGCAAACTTTACACATTTCCACTAGCAACCTGAGATTTTATGAACTATCTTATCATTTTCTTTCCGTTCTCTAGAAAAATGTATTTTTGGATTAATATTCTCCTTAGTAGCTTAATGAGAACTCCAGTTCTAAAACCATCTCACAGCCTAACTGAGCAACATTTATTGAGAACTTCTCAGGCACTATTAATTCATGACAGTGAACACGTAGGGTACTTCCTCAGTGCAAGATGAAAGCCTTAGAGTTCTCATTGGATTGCAAGAGATTTTACCTTAAAGAGAGAAAGCTAGCACGTAGATTATCTGAGAACGGCATTGCACATGAACCTGATGTCGCACAGCTATCACATGCTAAGGAAATAAATACACCTAGGTTTGTAGGAAACACACAAAGCAATAACACAGAGAAAATTACAGGAAAATAATTGGGCAAACAAAAGTTATAAGTTTTAATACAGCTTTGTAGAAAGCGATCACCATACTTGGTGTGGATCAGACGTAACACACTCTTATAGGACTCCTAAAGAAATGAAAACGTCTTGCTAAAAAAGGATTGTTTTGATTTGCTACAGTATATATTGCTGACCCAGCTTTAAAGTAGTTAATGAAGAATCCTGTGGTTTTCCATCTCTTGATTTAAGTCAAAGGGACTAAAAAGTAGAGCAAGAGAGAGACATTTGATGATTTTCAATAGAATACATGTAAAGCTCAGGTTTTCATATTAACTGAAGAGACAGAGGATAACTTTATCTGTTAAAAAAAAAAAACAGAACACAAACAAGTAACATTTGTAAAAAGGGGGAAAAATTAACAGCATAGTCTCTGACAAAGCTGAGCCGCTCTGATTCCATCCACTAGAGGACAGTGGAACACAAACACATTCACTACTACTCAGCTATTTTAATAGAAAATACGATTATTATTAATTGGAGAGAAATATCGTGTTCTGAAATGACCAGGGAACAAGACTCTATCCATATTTTCTCCTTCTTCTCTGTTTTAGCTCTTTATTTTTCAAGAAATAATACAAAATGAAACAGAAAAAAATATGGCTAACAGGAGCAGTAAAGCTGCAGAAGTTAAAACTGCAGCAACTAGAGCTGAATTCTAATTGTATGATAAAATCTATTAGCATAAAATAGATGATACATTTTATAAAAAGAAGATATTAGGCCCCAAACCTCTCCAGCTAGCCATATTCTTTTATTTTGTTGGCCTTTTTTTTTTACTCCTAGTAACTGTGATTGTAAACCTCAAAGCATAATTTGCCTTCTTAACCCACTATCCCAACAGAATGATTGTGCCTAACTGCTTACTTTTGTTCTGAGACTAATTACTAAATTACAAAAAATCACCTTTAACTTACAAAAACTACACTTGATTATAAATAATTGCCCCTGACCAAGAGAAAGGGACAGGCAAAACCCTAGCCTTTCATCCAATTTATTCAGCAGCAATCCACATTCCATTTGTCTAGACTAAATATAGCTGCGTTTATACAAGAAATCAATAGTGCTTGCAGAGAGCAGAGCAAAGACATGAATATTTCATCAAACTCGGAGAGAAACAGCAATCAGCAAACTGACACGTCTGTGGAGGCTGACTGCCCCTCCAGATCAGTCCCGGTACTTGGACAATGGCTCGTTGCCTGCAAGTCACAATCTTATCACAGGCGCTCTTCTATTTTTAACATTTATTGCATTGTAGGTGACAAAGGCTTATCATGTTTAAAGTGGAGAGATGGATTTTCTTACATCTTCTGTGACAGCATAATAAGCCTTACTAGGAGCAATAATAGTAACTAGAGCTCTGCAAACCCTGCAGGGTTTGGTTCGCAATAGTATTTGCAAACTGAACCCTGCAGCTTGGTTTGCAGATACCGACTCTGAATCAACACCTACAGGTCTGCGTGAAGATTCAGTCTGATTACGCTTCCCACCTCTGATAAGCATCCTACTTCTTAATTTCCAGAGCACTTCTCTGCACCTAGGAGTAGAGGTCTTCAGATTCTTCTAACACTGGCAATTTCCTTCACCAACTGGTAAAATGGTGTAAAACTGAAATGAGGCTTAGTCTGATGAGATTCAAATTTTCAAGAATTCACACTCTCTAATAAATCTAATGCTGGAACATCAGTTTCATCAAGTTCAACTTCATTCATTAATGTGAGGGAAAAATAAACATTTATGTATTTTTAGAGACTTGAATACATAGAAATCAGTACGTAATAGTTCATGTCAATAATTAACATTAAAAAGCCAATGTTTACTGACAAATAGAGACAAGCAGTTATTTACTGTCATAAAATACTGTCACTTAGGCTATCTCTAATACTACTCATAACTATTTACACAGCAAATATTAGCTTTTGGGGGTAACTACAGTCTTAAAATTATAATAATTAATAGTTGACTTGATAATAGGCAATCTCATCAACCAAACCAAACTAAATGATTCTAAATAAGTAACTGTAAAACCATCAGCCAAACTGAATATTGTGCTACACAGTCCTCATGCCACAGGCCATTTACATTCTTCTTACTTTTTTTCAGCTGACAAGAAAGGGACAAAGAAGCCCAGTGGAGTTACATCAGTGTAAAGAATGTGTAATGGAGCAGAGAATCAGGATCAGTGTCCTTAAGAGCTTTGACTCTTAGCTGAAGTATCTTCCTCCTCCTATGACCAACATTATTTTAATTCTGGAAAGATCAAAGGTGATGCAGGATGTTTATTCTCACTAGTTTTTTTATGCTTTTCACCTGCTCCATACTAGAATATATGTATTTTTTCCAGGTAGAAATGGAATGTCTTAATTTGCAGTGCATTCAACTTTTAAATACCATAAGAAGCACTGGGATGCAGGCTTTTGCCATCAGGATTCATCAGGCTATTAGCCAAAGGAGGAAATTGTTGCCTAACAAAAGAAAATATTAATCAGAGTTTCATAAAGGCTAATTTCACTTTAAGGAGGCTTTATTCACAGGATCTCCCGTATCACCAATGGAGAGAGGTTCTGTAAGGCACAATTCAAGATTAGGACCCTACCCTGGGTCGTCTCCCCTGTGGTCTGGAAGAGCTTCTTCCCAGCTTCTCTGGGGACGACAGAGGAAGCCTAGGGTTTCCTCTTTGAAGTTGATTAAACTCTCTGAGTTCAAGTTAGCCACGCCAGTAGGCAGCAGAACATTAACTCAAAATGTTACTGAGAGCTCAGTGGTTCCAGGAAATGCATCAAAATTTTAGTAGAAAAATATTCACGTTTCAGCTAACAACATGCTAAAGGTATGCGTATTTCTTTTTCCTAAAAAAATGTATTGTTTTTATCTGGAAAGATAACAACAAGAATAGATCTCAAAGGAACTTCCATATCAATAATATTCCACAGGCAAAACTTCCTGCAGTGGCTTTGCTATTCAATAGAAAGAAAGAAAGACACTTTCAAAATGGCATGATTATTGAATACATTTGGAGGCTTGGAGCATATTTATAAGGAGGTAAAAAAGCTTGTTTTAACTCTGGGGCTTTGTTTTTTTGACTTTCCTTAAAATTCCCATTTCCCATTCCTTAAAATGGGAATCACTGAAAAACACCTCTTTCATTAGGAGATGGCATTTCCAGCTGTTTCCAGTGACAAGTTTCAACATCTGCACACTGGTATATTATAATATACAAGCCTTCTGAATCACAACTGCCAAAAGAAAATATCAGAAAATAAAATGACTCACTTTCTTATCATCATCTCTCAAGAGGGGCAATCTTCTTTTTCACTGGCAATTACCTTTCTTGGCAGACATTTATGTCATCTTTAAAAACAGGAACTTACACAAGGGGCGGTGTAATCAGTTGAACAGTTGTCATCTTTATTTGAGATGTAATGAAGAATTCTAGTAGATCTGCTTACTAGAACATGATTAGTACATTTATGATTTTTACATTAGAGGAACTGTGTTAATTTGTTGAGACTGTAGGAATTCAAATTAACCCCTTCAAAGTGGAATTTCTTGTGTAGCCAATTATGTTGCTGGAATAGCAGAGTAAGATTGACCGGATGGAGGAAAACGGAATAGGGCAGGTTAGGCTCTTTCTTCTGCTTGCCCATCCAAGGCAGCATTTTACTTCAGAAGTGGTTAAGGTTTATGAAGTGAGCAAGGAGAACTACAAAACTTGGACCGTTAAATTAAATGTGACAAGAGGCAAGAGAAAGAAGATAAGCTCCTCCAACTGGCAATTTCACTATTAAGCAATAAAAGCATATTTCTGAAAATAGGCAAAAATGACTAAAATCTAAAAGACTCAATCTGTCAAGAAATGGCCACATTTTATCCCAATTATCAATTCAATGAAGCATTACACAGAAAAAGATAGAACTCTGTTCTACAAAACAAAGCCCACCTAAAGTTATTACTGAATTGTAGAGCACTTTCCACAGGTTTCATATGCTTTTTAAAAAATGAAAACAAATCAGAACAGAGTTTTGCATATTTTTTGTAAAGGATACAGTCTGCATTTAACCTCTTCATTTAAAGAAACTGCAAAACCTTCCTTTTTCAGGATTGACCATTAGCAAATCATGACATATTCAGAGCACTAAGGAAAGTGTAGAAAAGTGTTCTAAATGGTGGGAAGCATGGAAGACCAAAAAAAAAAATGTAGACAATACTTTTAATTTACTTTCTGCTTTAAACTTAGAATCTCTAGATTTGTCTGCCACCAAATCCAGGACTTGAAAAGATTCACTGAAATCAGAAAAGCCATAATGGTGTCTGGAGACTTACTGAGGAGCAAAGGATT